ATAAACTAAACAGAGAGAAGGGAAAATCACCAGATATTGTTCAACATCATGGTGAAATAATAACAAGGTGTTGTCACTTAGGGGGTGGTTGTTGTAATTTTGGCAATTTCGGCATACCAGCGTTACAGTAATGCCTACTCTATTCATTCCAGTTTCATTCCTGGGCAAAATGGAACAAAAAATGGAGCAAATAACTAAATCACACAAATAAGTATTGATTAGAGGTACTATTTGCAAATAAGCGCAAGACGCCGCCATTCTTAAGTTTATTTTCTTTTTCGATGGTCATCTTATTGCCTTTTAATAATAAAGACGTGTTGCCATTTTTAACTTTATTTTTTTTTTCCATGGTCATATTATTGCCTTTTAATTATCAGGCAATATTATAAAAGAATTTTTCACCATCGAATAAACGGTGAGTTAGGTATTTGCAAATTATTTTTATTTGCAAATAGCTTACGTATAAACGTAGTAACTGTGTCTTTGTTTCGCTTTTGCCTTGACTTTTCTTTTCAAATTCATTGGAAAATTTGAGCGATAATTTCCAATAATTGGGATTTTGTAAGTAAATTTTTGGTAAAATATATACTATACATATCCAAAAGATTGTTGGAGCAGTGCCTCGGATGGCTACGATAATGCACTTTGGTCTAACAATTTAAACGCATTATTACTTTATAATATAACTGATAGAATTCAGAAATGTAATTTTAAAATGTTAACGAAAATAAAGGTCGTAATAAAATTCTCTTTAAAGTTAAGATATTTAGAAACTAAGTACGCATATATGTACATGTACTTCAGAACTTAAGGAAAAAATACAATAATGAAATTCCATACGGGCTAATATGTCATTTTTAGTAGAATTTAAGAATAATTAAATAAAGAGAAATGTATAATTTAATTTGTTTTAATACGAATAAAAGAAAGACGGAAAATAATCGTTATTTTTTAAGTTTTAACCATCATCATATGTGTGAGGTACAACCGTGTGGCCTTTAAGTTTTACAAATAATAGTTTTAAGGTAGAAAAATAGAACTGAATAATAATTATTAAAATCAATATATTGGATCGAAAAAATAAAAAATAAATAATAATAATTTCTTTTGAGCGAAAAAATGAAACTGTAATTACACTGGTTTCCAGAAAAAATATTTTATTGATACAAACTTCATTCAACTGGTGTGAGCTCCACTGATATATGTATGTATTGGAAGTAGTACCCAAAAAGTAGTAAAAATAATCCTAATCTTTTGGCCCTTTTTCTACTACCCCAAAATGCATGGCCGCAATTGACATGCATAAAAAGTGAGGTTATGTAAGTGACATCACCTTATATTTATTTCACCATAGTTCAACATGTTAGAAAAAATGTTTCATTACCGATTTTCGACTACTAATGATCGAAAGCTTATCCTTTCTTCATAGCAAAAATCTGCTAAAAATTAGATGGGTGCCTGCATTGGCCTTTATTAAAAAACCAGGACAATTTAAGTGTGGACCCGGCACCAGGACAATTTGTTTAAGTCAAAGGACAAATCCTGTAAAACCAGGACCTCTGGCAGCTCTAGTCTAGTGGTGTACCCCAACTGGTACTCTCATTTACGCCCCTACTGGCGTCCCTAATAATACCCTTACTGGTATGTCGCGTTACGAACCAAGAAGGAAATTGCTGGGGCTTACGGTTGCCAGACGTACTGATTTTATCAGTACAGTACTGATTTTTTTACTCTTGTACCGATTTTATTAATAATTTCTTCAATCAGTACGCTTAAGTCCTGATTTTTCAAAATTTGTACTGATTTGTACTGAATTTTCAATTCAAACAAAATACCTTAGGATTTTCTTAAGGTTTTACATAACGCTTGAGCTTCCTTAAACTGTACTGTAAAAAGTAAAAAGAGAATAATGTAATTATGGTTGACATGTTTTAGATAATGAGATATGCCCAAAAAATTAATAGAACAAAAAGATCAATCGTTTTATAGGCGTATCGCCGGATCGTTCGAACCAGTTGCGATAATATGATGGAGCTTAAATTCTTTAAAAAGAAGGCTTAATTTTTTTTTTTTGTCGAATGTTAGTTATCTCGAAAATAACTTTCAGTTTAATAACAACAAATTTGAATATTCGAATTTCTTTTGCCTATAACTTACAACTCTTTCTTCTCAATTTACTGACATTGTAAAAGAGTTTGGCATAAAAGACATAGAGTTAGATACTCTTTTTAGCGAATTCTTTGTCTTTCAAAGTTTTTGCGGAGTTGAAAAAATTATCTAAGCCATGAGGAAATATAGATGAAGTCCTTAAAAAGTGGTACTTTCTCACAGTTTGAAAAAATATTTAATTTTGTTTTTTCAATACCACACTCAAACGAAGAAACAGATCCTCTCTGTATAAAGTAAGTATAAAGTTTGTTTTCTGACTCAAAGAGAGAACCCGGCTTCTAATTAAAATTTTTGAAACTAAAACTAAAACTTTTCAAACTAAAAGTAATTTTAAAATGAAATGTATACAATTCTTTGACTATTTAAACACTGAAAATGGGAATGATCTCATTTTTGCTATTCAAGAATGTCATAATAATAATAATAATAATAATAATAATAGATTGGCGCTTACACAAATGTTAGTGTTTGGCCGAGCTTCTCCTCCGATTTGTGGCGTGCGCCTTGATGTTGTCACACAAAGCGGAGGGACCTACAGTTTTACGCCGACTCCGAACGGCGATCAGTGTATCATTTCAGTATTCTAGAAAAGATTAATTCCATTATTTTATGTCGCCAAATTTGAAAACAACGTCAAGAATGTTTTCAAAAATGCCTGATAAAGACGAAACAATAACAACTAAAAAATTTTAATCAAAGTGTATGGCGGGACGGGGTTTGGTTTGGAAAATTACCGAGCACAATAATATTTAAACTTGTATATTTGAAACTGAATCTCAATGCTTATTTTGTCGGTGTTATGTGATTTATGCAACAATTACTAAAATACAATGTTGGTCTTATTTGCTTGGGTATGTTCTTTTTAATGAATATACATTTTTGGGATTTTAGTAAACTAGGACTGAGTATTTCATGTTAAAGCAAAACGATGTTAACTTAAATTTATTTTTAGCAATTTATTAATTTCATTAGACCCGCAAACTCGTTATCCGCCACTATTCGATAAAGTTTGTATCTCAGTTTATTTGCCACTCCTCTTAGACTTTAAACAACATAATTTTAGCTGCTGGAAAGTGCAGGTTTTGATGAAATTTTTTTTTTCTGGCCTACTGGGAATTTCATTTTCCTCGAGTAATTCATTTGCATTTTATCTCGACCGAGACAAATTCTTATATTTTCGTTTTGAATAGAGAAAGCCTGATTCATTACCTTTCCAATGGTATCCCATTTTTGTAAATAGAGTAAGAAATATTGAACTTATAACGGAATTTTGTTGACCCAACTTGACTTTTTTATCGATATTTTCCACGCCCATAACTAAAAAAAAATATATTTATTTTTAAGTCCATTTCTGTCAGTTTATAATTCCTTGTTATAGGGAAATTCTAAATATCAATTTTGGGCATTTTAGCCTTTGTAGTTAGTTAAATATTTCAGTTTTTGCATTTTTAAAAATTGCAGTTATATAATAGGGTGGCATGACAGTAACTATAAATTACCAATTTTTTTGTAAAAAGCTTCGCCTATCTTATAACGTACCTTGTGCAAAATTTCATTAATCTATCTTCAATAGATTTCGAATTACAGAATTAAAAGCAGCTAGATGGGTCAAATCTTACACTGTGCGGCGATTGTATTTTTATGAGAAGCTGTTTTTCATGGCAGAAATACACTCGGAGGTTTGACATTGCCTGCCGAGGGACGACCGCTGTTAAGAAAAAACCTTTTTTCTATATTTTTGCGATGTTGCTTTGACCAGGGTTTGAACCCAGGCGTTGTGGAGTGGAAGCGCGCACTGCTTACCACTACACCACAGCGGCCGACAAGAATGTCATAAATATAAAATAATTTATTGGCTGTATAATGATGTGTACCCTCATGTTAATATTAATAACACTTATTTTTTATGAACCATATTTTATCTATATACCAAAATATTTTTAAAAATAAGAACTCTGGCGTTTTGATGTTACTGTTACTCACATTCATAATTTTTCTTTGAATAAAAATGTACTGAAAAGTACTAGTACAAGCACTGTCGGACAGGCGATCCTTCTTATCTATCATGTTTGCCTACAACATCCTATCTGGTAGCATTCAATGCCAAGACATTACCAATCTCTTCAAATGGAATTAGTCAACTTTTCAATTACGTAGTTGTAAGCTTTTTATTGAGGCTACATACAGCATGCATACAATGAGCCAATAGCCAGAAATATAAGGCTTTGTAATTCTCATGCCACACTTTTAAATTTTAGTGATGATAAATGTAATGTTAAACCTAATCTTTTTAAAGTCTATAATTAATGCATAATTAAACATTGTCTTGAGTTAGGTAATAGTCTGTAAGAATACTATTTTCTGTAGACTAGTGAATAATGAAATAAATAAATGATATGTGTAGAAAGGCTCTCGAACATTTTGGCTGTTTTACAGAGTATTTATAAAACAACTAATTTGTTAATGTAGTAGTTAGTTGTCTTTATATTCAATTAAAAGTTTAGTGAGCAATCTACCGATTTTGAGAGAAAATAAGTTAGGAGCTTTCTACGTTAAGGTAACGATATTCAAACTTAAAATTGTTTAACACTCAACAAACTTGTTTGCTACTTCATTTTGTTAGACAGTGTTTGTTTTTAAAAATAGTAAGTCGTTTTTTTTTAATGCCTGTACCACGAAATTCCGTTCGGACCAGAAACAGCAAAGCTTAAAGAAAAAATTCGATTTAAGTTTTTAAAGGGTGTCGACAAAGTTTATTTTCCTCAAAATCGTTTGGAACAATTTGAGCTGTCATCCTGTAAACTAAGCTCATTTATTATCTTTACTTACAGATCCTTTGCAACACTGGTTCGGCTCGCGAACGACAATATGCCAGAATTATTCAACCAGTCCGTGATCAAGGAAATTTCTTACTCTGCAGTATTCTATTGGGTAATGTGTTGGTGAACTCTACATTCACTATTCTCTTGGATGGATTAACGTCGGGTCTTTTTGCTGTTATTGTGTCCACGCTTGCAATTGTTATATGTGGTGAAATCACACCTCAGGTTAATTCTTATTTCATTTGACCTCTCAACTTCTTATATTACAATATATATAATATACCCACCACAGGCTGTTTGTTCTCGTCACGGTTTGGCGATAGGTGCTAAAACAATTGGAATTACAAAAGTAGTAATGGTGCTCACATTCCCAATGTCATATCCGATTTCAAAAATGTTAGATTGTGCGTTGGGTGAAGAAATCGGTAATGTTTATAATCGGGAGCGTCTAAAGGAATTGGTGAAGGTATGTAAAGACAAATGCTCATTAAAACTGAAAGTAGCTTTCACTTTCACTTCTGTGCCATTATACTAGGTCACAACTGGTGTTAACGATCTAGATAAGAATGAAGTCAATATTATTTCTGGTGCACTGGAGTTGCGTAAAAAGACTGTATCCGATGTAATGACACATATCGATGATGCTTTCATGCTATCACTTGACTCTGTTTTAGACTTTTCAACTGTGTCGGATATTATGAAGTCAGGTTTCTCCCGTATACCCGTCTACGATGGGGATAGGAAAAATATCGTTACCCTGTTGTACATTAAAGACTTGGCATTTGTTGATACCGATGATAATACCCCATTACGTACGCTTTGCGAGTTCTATCAGAATCCTGTACATTTCGTTTTTGAGGATATGACTCTGGATCTTATGTTTAATCAATTTAAAGATGGTACGATCGGCCATATTGCATTTGTACATCGCGTAAACAACGAGGGTGACGGCGATCCATTCTATGAAACAATCGGTCTCGTAACTCTTGAAGATGTTATTGAAGAGTTAATTCAGGCTGAGATTGTTGATGAAACGGACGTATACATCGACAATCGCACGAAGGTGCGTCGCAATCGCAGCAAAAAGCAGGACTTCTCCGCTTTTGCTGAACGTCGTGAAAATCAAAAAATACGCATTTCTCCACAACTCACACTGGCCACGTTCCAGTATTTAAGTACATGTAAGTGTGCTAAAGTTTATGTTCACAGCCATCTTTATGTTCAATGTTTATTTGCCAAGCTTTAATTTATTTAATCCATCCATAATTTGTAATTTTCATAGCTGTCGATGCCTTTAAAAAGGAAGTCGTTTCCGAAACAATCTTGCGGCGCCTACTTAATCAAGATATTATCCATGCCATCAAGTGCAAGGGTAAAAGCAAAGATGATCCCCGTCTGTTTATTTACCAACAAGGAAAGGCAGTGGATTTCTTCGTACTTATTTTAGAAGGACGTGTCGAAGTAACTGTTGGTAAAGAGAATTTACTCTTCGAAAGTGGCGCATTTACTTACTTTGGTACCGCAGCACTTCAACCAAATGTTGTTGTTGGTAAGTAATCAGATACTTTTGAGTCAACTAAACAAATTTGTTTAATTAAATATTTATTTTAATGCCAAAAGACTCGCCTACTCAACAATTACGTGGATCTATTCAGTCATTGAACATAGATGCCAAGATTCGCCAGACATTTATACCAGACTATTCGGTTCGTGCAGTCACTGATGTCGTCTACATCGCTATAAAGCGTAGCCTTTACTTAACTGCCAAGAAAGCGACACTTTTAGAAAAGACCCGCAAGAGTGGCATTGAAATAAACAGTGAAATAACTGATGATGAAGTGGAAAAGGTAAGTTCATAAGCACTATGATAAATGTGTTTTTACTTACGCTAGGGATAATATTTTAATTGATAGACTGTAGGAAACATAGGGATAGAGTGTGTGGTGTCATACCTACATTAGTAAGTAGTTGGTTTTCGGTAACTGGTGTTATCAATGGGACTAAAAAAAAAACTTTTGTAGTATTAATGAAGCGATTTCGCTTTCGGAGAATACCTCTGGCAGAATGGTAAGCGACTTGAAAATCTATGTGTTAAGCCCTATGTGTCGTACCAGATGATGTTAATCAATGTTTCAAATGCTGTTAAAAATGTTCCGGTGGCCAAATGAAATATCTATTTCTAGAGTCAAGTTATGGTAGGTCACCTGTAATTTGGCGTATAGTTTTTTAAACTCAAGTTCTAATTAAACAGCTGTGTCCATGAAACAAATGTACAAATTATGAACTGGCTCGAAAAAAATGTTTTTAATGGTCCATAAATAAATAAAAAAGGTGTGTTTGGGTCAGGGCTGCAAACCGCTCCAAAAATTGAAGCGGTTCTATTCAGTTGTTGTTGTAGCGGCTACAACAACCCCGCCCAGATCGGTTGGTATCTCAGTCGTTGTCGTCAAGTTCCACTAACGGCAACCCTAGGAAGCGTACAGCTTCTGTGGGATTTGTCCACAGGGACAAGGCCGTTAGGGTTGTCGGGTTTTCCGGGCATGCGAAGAGATGTTTCGAGTCATGTGGGGTCTCTCCGCATGCCGGACACTCATTCGGCACATCCTCATTCAACCTACTCAAGTAGGAGTTCAACCTGCTGCAGTAGCCTGAGCGAAGTTGTGCGAGTGTATTGCGTGTCTCCCGAGGCAGATGAAGCTCTGTCTCGTCTATGTCCGGGGGTGGTATGCCTAGAACGGCATTCACAGCTCTAGAGTCTACATAACTCGAGACTGAGTCCCTGTGAATGCCGTTCAGGGCCTGTCTGTACGCTGTCGGGTCCAGAGGTTGCTTAATGAACCTCTGGACTTCGTCCGTCAGTTCATATAGATGCCTCCTGACGTGCCTAGGCGAGGGCTCCTGTGCAAGCAGCTGTCTGCTTGGGTGGCCACTTCTGTGGCTCCCGATCAGGAACTGCTTGCAGAGCATTATATTATGCTCCTTAACTGGGAGCATTTGCGCCTCGCCGTGCAAGTGGTGTTCAGGCGACCTCGGGAGGCATCCCGTCGCTGTCCTAAGTGCCGTATTTTGTACCGTCTGTAGCTTCGTCCACTGCGTCCTACTAGTCCCTGGCGACCACACTGGCGCTGCGTAGTTCAAAACCGGCCGGCCTATTGCCTTGTATGTTGCCAGCAACGTTTCTTTGTCTTTGCCCCAAGTACTGCCGGCTAGCGACTTGAGGACCTTGTTGCGGCTCTGTACTTTATTGACAATAGCGGTTGAGTGCGCAGAGAAGGAGAGCAGGCTGTCGAATGTTACTCCGAGTATTTTGGGGTTATTCACCGTCGGAATTGGTGTGTCATCGACGTGAATCCCCAGCGGTAGCCTGACCTCCTTCGTCCAGGTTGTGAACAGGGTCGCGGAGGATTTCGTAGGGGAGAGGGCTAGACACTTTGCAGTGAAGAAGCGAGAAAGTTCGGAGAGATAGCCGTTTACTTTCGAACACAGGTCATCAATTCCATTCCCAGTCGCCATGATCGAGCAATCGTCGGCGTAGGAGACAATCGAGACTCCCTCTGGTGGTTGAGGGAGCTTTGAAATGTAAAAGTTAAACAGTAGCGGGGAAAGGACACCACCCTGAGGAACCCCCTGTTTTATTTTTCGCTGCTTACTCGTTTTGTCTCTGAACATTACCGACGAATGTCGACCACTTAGATAATTTGCCGACCACCGTTTGAGCCTCTGTGGGAGAGAGGAGGCCTCTATATCTTCTAGTAGCGTGGAATGGCAGACGGTGTCAAACGCCTTTGACAAGTCCAACGCTACTAGAATCGTTCTCTCACAGGGACGGTTACGGTTAAGGCCACGAGTTATCTGAGTGTTTATGGCGTTAAGTGCTGTTGTTGTACTGTGCACTTTACGGAAACCATGCTGATGCTTCGCTGGGGTCAGGTGGTTTGTGAAGTACGGGAGTAGCAAGGCCTCGAGTGTCTTCGCTACCGGGGAAAGGAGTGTAATCGGACGATACGAATCTCCTTTGTTGGCAGGTTTCCCCGGTTTGAGCAGTGGGACCACTCTCCCCACCTTCCAGATGTCTGGGATGATGAGAGTGGCCATTGACAAGTTGAGGACCTCCGTTAGGTACGCTACCCCCGCAGGACCCAAATTTTTCAGCATCAGCATGCATATTCCGTCGGGACCCATGGCTTTGGAGGCTTTCGCCTTCCCGATGGCCACCTGAACTTCACCGCAAGTGAAAGCAAGGGGGGCACAAGTTGTTGGCAGTTTGTGCAGCCTTCTGGTCACTCGACGCTTGGCTTTGTCCACCGGAGGATGCAGTATGAACTGCCGGCTAAAATAGCTCGCGCATCGCTCCGGGTCCGACGAAGCATGGTCGCCGAAGGAAATTTCGACTCTGTCGTCGTGCTTCGTCGGATTAGACAATGACCTCACGGTTGACCAAAGCTTGCTCACACCAGAGGTGAAATTACAAGTCTTCAGATGCTCCTCCCACTTCTTCCGCTTATGTACGTTTACAAGTTGCCGAATCTCCGCGTTGAGATCCCTGATACGGGGATCTCCGGGATCGGCCTGACGAAGGCTATCACGCTCATCGGCTAGAACAGCCGCTTCGGCAGGGAAGTTTGGACGTGGGTCCGATATACACCCTGCCGGTATGAAGCGAGCTGCAGCAGCAGTGATAGCCCTGCGGAACTTACGTTCACCGAGATGGACGTCGGTTGGTGTGGGGAGCGATGCGAAGGTGTTTTCGGTAAACTCCGCGTAACCTTTCCAATCAGCTTTAGAAAAGTTGATATAGGTCCGGTGTTTGGCGGAGGCAAAGTCGGTTGGTTTATCAATCGAGATGACTATGGGTAGATGGTCTGATGCTAGAGTCAGCATAGGTCGCCACGTTATGCTGTTTATCAGACCAGCGCTGACTATTGTGATGTCTGGCGAGCTACTGCAGTTACCCATAATCCTGGTGGGTGCGTCGTCGTTCATTGTGCAGAATGTCGAATCGTCTATCTGCTCAGCCAAGTCTGTTCCCCTACGATCGTTTGACAGGCTTGAGTGCCAAAGATCGTGGTGCGCATTAAAGTCACCTACTACCATACGGTTTTCACCTCTGAGGAGCGCACCTATATCAGGGTGATATCCTGCCGGGCAGCAGGTGACAGGGGGTATGTATATGTTAAATATTTCGAGCTCGACATCGCCTGACCGGATAGCGATGCCCTGACATTCTAGGGTGGTATCCCTGCGGTCGATGTCTGCTTCGATAAGACGATACTGCACGGTGTGGTGCGTGATGAACGCTAAGCCACCACCATTATCTCGCTCGCGATCTCGACGGTGCACGTTGTACCCGGCGCAATTCAACAAAGCAAAACCAAAACACAAAACAAAAGGAATCATTTCTTTAGTGCTCAGCAAATTGAGGTTTTCTATGAAGTTAGCAGAATGATTCAGCTGCTTCAGTAGATTTATGTACATTGTGTGTTTGTATATTTACGTATTTGCAAAATGCCACGTACTATGATATGCACCAGGGTTGTTGCGAATATTATTCCGAAATAAAAGTCTTTTCCGGATAATAGATAAACCACCTATCCAAGTTAAACAAGTTTGGTAGTGAAAGAGGACTAAAATAGCTTTAAAACTTAAATGTCTAAACGAGGAAAGCCACATATTGCACAGTATGTACATACAACCCAGGGTTGATGCGAAAATTCACATTCGCATTCGCAACCGCGGAGATTCCGCATTAATTTTAACATTCGCATTCGCTTTCGCATTCGCAATAATCAATGCGGAGCTTATGCGAATGCGAATGTTGTGCAAGTGCACCGATAAAACGTATATCTGGCAAACAATATAACAAACTGTAGCCAATATTTTTTGCCTGTGGTCGTTGGAGTATTTGTGTAACAAAACTGGTCAAACTTTGATAAAAATGTCTTTAAACTTATTATTTCTTAAGCTATATAATCGAGCAGTTGTACAAGTTCCCACTTCTAATTGACCTTTGACGTACGTCAAAGAGAACATAGCCCTTTTAATAATATATATTTTTTGTTTTCTCTTCTTTAAATACCTGCATTTCTTTCTTTATTATGATTTTTTTTTGGACCAATCTTAAAAAAACTAGTAGACTAAAAGAAGAAAGTGTGCGCTGTAATTTTAAACCAAATTTTCGTGATTTGCTCTTGATGTTACATATCGTCACCTGAAATACAAAAAGTCGTAACTAATAAAAAATTCAAAGTTCAGTTTTTGATTGATATGATGGATTTCATCGAATTTCAACTCCCACATCAGTTACGTCTTTTTGAATTTCAGGTGACGATATATTCCAAGGCGACTTAATATAAGGTGATAGCAGGAGTACAAAAACAAAAATTTACATGTATTTTGTTTATGCTTTGGCGGCATAAACTGTCAAAATCTGTAAGTGTGTGTAGAAATTCAAACAAAATTTTTCAATTTGATATCAGAAGCCGTGCGGCGAAACACAAACCAAAATCAGCTGAGCTAGTAACACCACCTTATATTAATTCGCCTTGATATATTCGTTTCAATCATTTCAAATGTGGCTCTTTGGGGAATTTATTTTAAGAAAAAATTTTAAAAACAGTTATTTTGTTTACTTGTCGAGCAATATTTTTTCATAGATATATATGTACATTGGATCCTTGCCCAAAGGCCTCTGTGGTAAAACTCTCCCCTACGTCTCCCTTCTTTGCTATTTAAAATGAAAGATTTTAGCTCCTACAATAGGGATTTCCAGCAGAAATCTTCAACATTTAGCTATAAAGAGAATCGATGCTGAAATATTTAAAAAGCTATAGGTCCGACCTTTAATTAG